TCCAGACGGTGTGAACCAAAAAAAAAAATTGACTAAATTATGAATATCCAGATTAATACACACACAGTTGTGAATATGCAAACACACAAATGGCCAAGTGAAACACAGACACACACTAACATTTCACTCGAAATGCACACTTCCTTACGTGCTCTCAGACAAACACACAGACACACACACACGAGCAGTGAGAGGCCTGGCTGTTAATGGTGGTGGTCCTGCACTCCACAGAGGGATCTGTGTTTAGAGCTCCATTTGGGGCCAGATAAATCAAGCTGCTGTCTACCAGAAGCCTCCATTAGGGGCCCCACAAGGCCCCTGGACGGCCTGTCAGTCACCCCGTCAGTCAGCGAGTCGCCTTCTTCCAGCGTTTGAACTGATAATTACAGGGAGGCTCGGCGTAGCTCGGTGTGGCCGGGGCTCCCGAGGCCCACGCACCGCACACACACACCCGCCTCCCAGATGGCAGCGGTTGCTAGTGCAGGGCTAATGCTAATACTAACAAACGACGGACATTTCACCTCCAGAGGAAACAGCGTTGAGGAAAATATTTATGCAAACTGAAAAGCCCCCCTCCCACCTCCTCCACCCCCTTGCCTCTCCTCGTCCATTTCAACGCAGGACTTCTGGAGCTTTAAGTTTTTGTAGACTTGAGTGACAGTCCCGGGTTTCCCCGTGAACCTGAGAGAGTTTAGCGTGTAAGCTAGTTGCGGACCTCGCACTAACCTTTTGTCTGCCGAAGATTAATCAAACACCAGTTAGAGGGGAGAGGTGTTAAAACACAGGGGTGGAGATGACTGATGACTTCTTAAGGAGTAGCAGAGAGAGGAAGGTGGAGGAGAAAAACCTCACATCAAAACAGAGGGAAAAATGTTTGAGGGAGCAGAGCTAGAAATTAACACCGACCTGTGAAAGGCAATGGTTTGTCTTCAAAACAAGTCACATTCACGTGAAACAAACAATCATTCATGGGTCGGGGTCTATTCTGAAAGTCATCAATCATATCCAGGAGCCCTGATGTCAAAACCATCGCGTGTATTTTGGAATCTGGCCACCGGGTCAGCAGATGAAAAGTTTCCTGGTCTTACACGTACACACACATAGAGTCAAACTGGTTCGTTGGCTCGCAGGAATTCATGAATAAAATATAGGCCCATAAAGGCAGCATGAACAATGGAAATATTATCCTGTGCTGCATAAACGCACAGCCGACCACAGAGTATTCGCACAGGGAGCTAACTCCTCTTATCTCTGACGGCTCGACGGCGATGACCGGTGACTGTGTGTGTAGACACACGCACCGCTAACGAGGGGAAACCCACCTCCACCCCCCACACACACTCCTCACATTCACCCAAAGATTGATGCTGAAAATTTACCCAGCAGACATTCCACTGGCGCAGAAATGAAAGAGGTGCCTG